TTGGTACCACATTGTTAGTCTTACAGCAAGGGAAATGTTTTCAAGTAAAGTAGGAAGATGATTTGCTAAAAAATCTAAATACATCAGACCATTTAAGTTGCCTTCAAAAAAATACGGCCCAATAACATGATCCCCAATTATACCTCCCCAAACATTTACACTCCATCTTTCTTGGCTATGTGTTCTGATGATGTTAGGATTTTCCGTGGAATAATAGTGGAAATTGTGTCTATTAACGAATCCGTTCTTGTGGAATGTAGATTCATCAGAAAACAGCACTCTATAAAAAAAAAATGGATTTTGTTGCAGTTTAGTTTGTGCCCAGTTACAAAACACCATTCTATTATTAAAATCGGTGTCTTTCAGCTCTTGATGCAATTGTATTTTATAAGGATGATATTGATGCTGTTTTAAAATCCTTCTATCGGATGTTCTACCTATACCTACTACTTCGGCAATCTTTTTTTGACTTACATGAGGATCTTCTATCGCTGTCAAAATTACAGATAATTGGTTATCATTATCAGTAGCACGTTTGTCAATTATTGGTTTTTTATAAGCAACATTTCCTGTTTCGGTAAATCTTTCATGTAACTTTTCAAAACTTTTTGATCAAGGATGCGTCTATCGGGATATCGTTGATGATAAATTTTTTTTGCCAATAAACAATTTCTGTCGGATTCTCCCAAAACATAGACCATGTCAATTAATTCGTTTTTCGTAAAATTCATTATTAATAGAAGAATTATCGCGATCAGTAAAAATAACTTGACACTTCATTAATAAATAATCTGACACTTCATTAAGACCCAGCCTACTTGATTGAATGTTCACTTTCAATAAAACCACTGGTAGAAATTGGATTTTTGATAGATCAATGTCTTTTTGGAATTTACTTTTAAACGACGACAGATAGGTATAGGAAAGTACATGGGGAAGTCGAAGGGTATAAAATTCTCGTTTCATCGATGAATAGTAATACAGGGTGTTCTATTTGAAAAATTTGAAAAAAATGTCCTAGAAATTTTTGGAAATTGAAATTAATTTGTGACCACCCTGTACAAAATAAAAAATTAAAACTTGGTCTAAAAAAATCTTTGGTCTATTGGCTTTATACATTTGTAGTTTTTTAAATTCTAACGTCAAATTCGAGAGAGAACTGCATATTTTAATAGGCGTCTGAAAATGTAATATTTTTTGGTATTTCTTTTTTTTCTGCGAATGGGGTAGGATGTTAGAAACAATATTTTATGGGTATGCACTAGTGACCATAGAGTACCTAAAATTGAAAAAAAGTTGGGTCATTCCATTTAAAAAAAAATAAGTGATTTGCCTAATTTACTATTGGGCCACCCTGTACACAAGGAAATAATTTTGGGATATTTGGTTTTAACCACCATTGACAGGTATTTTTCGAATAAATCGTTAAGATTTGCATAATAGGAGTTATAGAACTACGACAGAGGTTTGGCCAACCCTGTATATAACATTTTTCAAACGGAAACTATCTTTTGCCCCAAGACAACTCAAAATGTCACCTTTCTCCAGAAAACTTGCAACGGGATCTTTAAAAAAGATACAGTCAAACTGAGATAATACCATTTTCTCAATATGAGTTGCGTAAAAGTAAAGCTCACATGTAACATAATTTTTCTCATGATAGATTACAATATTCAAAATCGATTTCTGTAAATAACTTAATTTTGCTAAATTTTGATACATCACCTTCTTCTTCCGGATGCACGATATGCTGATTTGAGTATTGTTCGATCTGACATAATTTTAAAACTATATGTCGAATAATATACTTGGATGAGACTATATAAGTGACATTGGTTGTCCAACATTTATAGCTGAAAATCCTTGTTTACCGTCGAAATAGGAACAAACTTAACAAAATAGAAGATAACTTTTAATTGCCGATTAACTCGTGCACGAAGTTATATAGAGTGCACATTTGGAATACTTGCTAACAAATGGAGAATTTCATAAACCTTTGGATGTTGATATTGACTTTGGTAGTGATATAGTTAAGTGTTGTTGTATGTTACATAACTTTCTACGAGATGGGATGGAAATGAAGTTGCATGCAGGGTAAAATTAACTTTGTGCATTGGTGGTAAATAAACGCTGGCATCTTTGTAAGATTCTAGTTTTAGATAAATACGTCCTATATCACTCTATGAATGATGGTTTAATAGTACATTATAATTAAAAAAAAAAGATTTTGGCAATTTACAAAAAAAATTTCAACTTTAAAGTACTAGGATTGATCATACGCAGTTTAAATTCGATCAATAATAGCCGAGATAAACGCTTAGATCCATTTGATACTGCTACTGGCAATAATTTTTCTATTCAACGTTAATCTATATCATGTTGTATACATAATGCAGTTTTTTTTTTCTTTTGAATCTGACCAATAATAGCCGAGATACATGCTCAGGTCCTTTTGGAATTGTTACTGTGCAGGCTTTTTTTTTAAACTTTAATCTATACCACGTTCTTTACATGATACAGTTTTTTCGTTTAAATATGACCAATAAAAGTTGAGACTAAGGTCCTATTGGCATTGTTACTGCTCAAGATTTTTTTTTTCAGCGTTGAACTATACCACATTCTCTACATAATTTCGTTTTCCTCGTTTAAATCTGATCAATAATAGGCGAGATATACGCTTAGGTCCTTTTGTCATTGCTTTTTCTTAGGATTTTTCTCTTTAACGTTAATTTATACCACATTCTCTACATAATACCGTTTTCCTCGTTTATATCCTACCAATATACCAATATACCAAGGTACATGTTTAGGTCCTTTTGGCATTGCTACTGCGCAGGATTTTTCTACTCAACGTTAATAGAGATTAATTTCCCACACTTTCCCGTTTTTTCCCAATTGAATCGCACCAGTAATAACGGAGATTTAATCCCCCACTCCCATTCCCCCGTTTTACCCTCATACCGTATGTCTCATTTTAACCATTAAATTTGTACCTCTCACTCTTACACATTGGATTCCTTTTGTGAGCTCATACATACTTTGTCTATCTACTAATTAAGTCCTCATGATATAGGTGTACATACCTAACATAGTGCAATATTTATCTTTTATATCGTCTTAAAAAAAATCTGTAGTGTAAGTGTAGCTTCCATTTTTTTGTAAATGTATGGACATCATCATTCAAGTAAAATCCCCTAAATCAGTATAATACTGTTTATCAGTACCTCTAGCATTTATAAATGAGACATATTTCTATAACTTTAAATTCATTAGGAACAACCTACAAAATAAATTACTCATACAAAATTATACTAGGGTCAAGAAATAATTATCTTTTTTCAAATAAAATATATGATAAGATTGTCATACTTGTGAAATACCTTCTGGTACAATTTACAATGATTTTTCTTGGCTGGCAACTGTAATCTAAGATCTGTTTAAAATTAGGTACTTTATATCATTGCCATAAGAGCACATTTCTTGATAGAACTTAGTCACCGCTTAATTTTGATGGTTTTTCTATAAAAGCATGATGATATTTACACAGTTTTCTGTCTTAGAGTTGGGTATAAAACACATGACTATTTTGAGAAAGTGGAACAAAACAAAAAATAAATAAACAACAACCTCAAAAATAATAGTAAATACCTGGAGCTTGAAGCCATGTTTCATTAACAATCATTGAATTGATGCACATACTTCTGATTTATTAAATTCACATTATTTAAACACGGTTTTTAAATAATTAACACAATTAAAATTGTCTTATGGTGAATTTTAGAGTTTGACAGCTTAATTGGAAATATCAACACAGTATAATGTAGAGAGAATATAAACACTAATTTGTGATATCTGTGAACGCACTTTGAGTCGTGTTTTAATTAATTTGACGTTAATAATTTTATATTTGAAGACTGACAGGATGAAAATGTATTTATATCATTTAAATCATGCTATTAAAAAAAGGTATTTATTTTAAATAAAACTGACTTACTCCACTTGTTCGAGTTTGACATATGACGTAAAACTGTGCGGACACATTTAGTACCATTTCCTTTTTATTTTATATCTATCATTGGAAAGTTCGTATGCTCCGCACTATTTTGTGATGTCACTGTGTGCGTTGCACAAATTAAGGTGATTTAAGTGATTTTTTGTTTGTTTTACTACGTTTCGCAAAACTGTGACATCTCTTTTTAGCTAAATACTTTTGAGAACCCCTCTCACTCCCTCGGGCTCACTTATAAAAGAGCGCCACGGAAACGCGATAAGCTAGAGCGCAGTGGCGTACCTAAAAATAGATATTAACACGATAGAAAACAATAAAATTATTAAAATTTAATAAATTTTTTTGTATGTTATTTATTTTAAAATAATGTGTTTTAATGAAATATAATTGGGTGTTCACTGTACAAATGAATCAATGGAGAAATCGCCCCTGCTTCCTATACAAACATTCTAAGACGTATAATAAAACAAAATACGACATGCAAAAATGTACATATTTTTAGAGCAGAACACAAAAATTAACATTTTTTAAAAGTTTTAAAACAAACAATAAATACTTTCTTAAATTTTATGTCCTCTATTATTTCAAACGTGACAGTTATAGTAAAATGAATGTGGAGCTTACACACACGTGCTTACTCAGTAGGTTAAAATCGAACTAAGGTGTTTTTCACAGTTCATACCTAAAACTTTTTTTAGCACCATCTAACAAAAATTAGCGAAATGTAGACACCACATGTATAAAATGGATCCTGTGTTTTCCGTTACCATATGGTAACGTTAGTTTAATATAAATATTGTTGTAATCAGATAATTTGTAACATGTTGCAAAGTTTAAAGTTATCTGCTTCCCATTCTGACTTTGGACGATCTACTTTATGCGTGACAAAAATTAATAACTTTACACCCAAAAAATTTAAAACGCTACAAATTTAGTGTTATATTTATTCAAAATCGATTAGTCAACTAACAAATTGTTTCTTTTGTTACAGGAATGAAGCCAAGGATGAAAAATCACTTTCGTGCTCATCAACTTAGCGTCTGGTTACGTCTAATCCCAGAGCTACATAGAGCCGGTATGGAAGATGTAGTAGCCAGACACAACTTATTTAGAAACCACAACAGTGCCGACCTCTATGAAGGAGCCGTCCGCCCAGACCCACTATCTAGATTAAATTACTACGATCCCACGATGGAACTGATTAGAAGACGAACAAACTCCAGTATAACGACTTTAGAATCTCCGACAACTATTGAAACTGTAGTTACGACTTGCGTTAACGTTGTATCTTCGGGTAATTATAATCACCAAATATTCCAAAGTCACAATTCCACTGACACTTTGGCTAGCTTAGAAGCAGCAGGATATGCTGCTTACAGTACAGCGTTAAGTGTCACAATTGCTATTGGTTGCAGTTTATTAATTCTGAACGTTCTCATCTTCGCTGGCGTGTATTATCAAAGAGATAAAACAAGAATGGAAGTGAAGAACCTACAGCAACAACAAAGCCGAAATCAAGCTGCTTTTGAAACTATATCAAAGCAACAATATCATTTAGGTCACTCTCAGAGTTCTAATGTTATAGTAAACGTTGAACAAGATACAGCTTTGATACTAGCAGCTAATGCACAGCAAGAAGTTCATAATATGAACAAAATGCAACATTTGTATCCTCAAGCTATTTCGAATACGTTAAAAGCTCCGCCTCCTAGTCCAAATGTCATGATGCAAAACTGCATGACCCTCCCTAAAAATATGTCAGTTCATAACTATCAACAACAGGGTTGTATGACGCTGCCAAAGAATTCTTCAATGGCCAACAATACAGCATGTATTATTGCTGAAATGCAACAACATGGGTATGTACAGCCGCCGAATGGGAATGCAACGATGCCGCTTAGCGTGCCCAAACCACCACCACCTCCTAGAGCGAAGAGTCCCGAAAGCCAACCACTGTTAAATGCTCAGCACAATAATATAAATAAGTGCAACATGAGAGTTCCTCGTGCTGCGATGAGTGAAATGAGAGTGTGATAAAAATCAGTGTTTTAAACTATAATTGTATTCGAACTTGATCTTCATATTCGTCCAAAGAGAAGTCTATCAGTTTTTGTTTGTTCGATAATCTGATTTTAAAAATAATACTGAAGATATAGGAACGTAAACTTTTAACTAAATAAAATACATATAGTACTTTTTATTTGTTTCAAAATTGATTAAATTTTTGTTTTCTCTGTAGTTACTTACGACTTTAATTGAATTCCTTAATTTTTTTCTGATTTTTGAATTTCGTTATTTTCGTTCATCAGATTTGTTCTTAATAATAATAATTTATTTACCAATGGTAGCGTACCATAGAGGTTTAAAATATACAATTACAAAATAAATAATACAATGGTAAATAAACGAAGCATTTGCTCAAATAAGTTGGGTCTAGGAAAACTCCCCGACAACAATTCCCCGACTGAAAAATTCCCCGATAAATACAGGGTGATTCATAACTATTGGGACATAGATTAAGAACATGTTATTTAGATCAAAATATGGCTATAGGACCAAATATACCTTAATAAAATATGGCTGTGGAATAAGATACAGGCATATCTTTGGACAAGGGATATTATTTTATGTATTATTTCACATTTTTTTACAGGGGGCGCCACGAGAATGATTCCTGATGATGAAATTAAGTGGTAAGTTTTTTGCTGAAACTTTTTAGCTTTTTATTAGAAAGTATTACGTAAACATAATTTCTACGTAATATTGGTACTCCTGTTTAAAAACGACAATTTCACCTGTTTTTGAGAAAAACGCAATTGAACAGTTCAGAGTCTCAGAAGGATATTTCAAAAATTATTTTATTTATGAAAAGTGTGCTTTGGGCTGTCAGATAATTGTGTCTGGTAAATGTCAGTTCTTGCCAATGAATTATTTTTGCTATGAGATTATAGTCTATTGTGGCATTTTTTAACGCCCTGTATCTTATTCTACACCCATATTTTATAAAGGTATATTTGGTCCAATCGCCATATTTTGATCCAAATTACCTGCCATGTTTCAATAGTTATGAATCACCCTGTATATTACATTAAAAAAAATATATTCTATCATATCAAATGTATATTGTGGTTCTAGAAAGACCCATTTGTTACACAAAAAAGTCGTTATCCATGATTCTTTTTCAGTAATGAAGGTTGTGGGCTATACCACGTAAGTAAGCAGACAAGGTCCCCTCTTCATACTTACTTACAAGAGCTGATATTCGTTCAGAAAAATCACGGTACTTTTTACGTTGAAGCACGCCTTCTAGGCCTCCTGCGTATTGTTCTATCTATATCTCATGCACGTTTTGCTCCCGCTGTAAAACTTGTACGAATTTCCATTTATTGGGATGTAGCCCAATCGGATTAGGTGAAGAACAGATTCTGAAAAATTCGAAGCAGCAATTTTCCTTCGGAATTCGTTGGAGGGGGTGTGTGGTAGTCTAAATTCAAAAAGTTGGGATTCCAAAGTTGTCGTTACCTCCGCCAGCTTGATTTAAAGGGTTATTTTTTGTATCTTGAATAACTCATTTATTTTCAATTTTACACGGAAAATAGTTTTTACAAAAGTTATTTAAAATTAAATTTCCTACAATTCTGCTTTTTTTTGTACGATCGATTTTTTCGATTTATACCCGAAAAGAGGGGGTGAATTTTTGGTTATAGAATAACTCGTTTATTTTCAATTTTACGAGAAAAATTGTTATAAACAAAGTTGTTTAAAATTAAATTTCCTACAATTCTGTTTTTTTTTGTACGCTCGATTTTTTTGTATTTATCCCTGAGAAGAGTGGGGGTAAACTCTTAGAAAAAATCGGAATCATAATTGTACCAAATAACATTTTTGAAAATCAGCAAAAAAAAAACAAACAGAAAAAATAATGGTACAACGTCAATAATAAACGTGACAATACAATACTTAGGTTCACCCCCACTCTTCTCAGGGATAAATACAAAAAAATCGATCGTACAAAAAAAAACAGAATTGTAGGAAATTTAATTTTAAACAACTTTGTTTATAACAATTTTTCTCGTAAAATTGAAAATAAACGAGTTATTCTATAACCAAAAATTCACCCCCTCTTTTCGGGTATAAATCGAAAAAATCGATCGTACAAAAAAAAAGCAGAATTGTAAGAAATTTAATTTTAAACAACGTTGTTTATAACAATTTTTCTCGTAAAATTGAAAATAAACGAGTTATTCTATAACCAAAAATTCACCCCCTCTTTTCGGGTATAAATCGAAAAAAATCGATCGTACAAAAAAAAGCAGAATTGTAGGAAATTTAATTTTAAACAACTTTGTTTATAACAATTTTTCTCGTAAAATTGAAAATAAACGAGTTATTCTATAACCAAAAATTCACCCCCTCTTTTCGGGTATAAATCGAAAAAAATCGATCGTACAAAAAAAAGCAGAATTGTAGGAAATTTAATTTTAAACAACTTTGTTTATAACAATTTTTCTCGTAAAATTGAAAATAAACGAGTTATTCTATAACCAAAAATTCACCCCCTCTTTTCGGGTATAAATCGAAAAAAATCGATCGTACAAAAAAAAAGCAGAATTGTAGGAAATTTAATTTTAAACAACTTTGTTTATAACAATTTTTCTCGTAAAATTGAAAATAAACGAGTTATTCTATAACCAAAAATTCACCCCCTCTTTTCGGGTATAAATCGAAAAAATCGATCGTACAAAAAAAAAGCAGAATTGTAGGAAATTTAATTTTAAATAACTTTTGTAAAAACTATTTTCCGTGTAAAATTGAAAATAAATGAGTTATTCAAGATACAAAAAATAACCCTTTAAATCAAGATGGCGGAGGTAACGACAACTTTGGAATCCCAACTTTTTGAATTTAGACTACCAGAGACCCCCTCCAACGAATTCCGAAGGAAAATTGCTGCTTCGAATTTTTCAGAATCTAAAATACTAATCCGATTGGGCTAATGATCTGCAGAAACGTGAGCCTCGAAAGCTCGATGCCATCCTTCAATGGAATTATTAGTTTTTGACAGTCCTTCTATCACAGTTCTGGTAACAATTCCACATATCAAGGGGAATTTTAGTGCGCGATGACGTTGGCCTCTCTGCGGGCGTCCAATCCAGGTGTCCTCGAAGTAATCAACAATTGACTGGGCATTCTCGGGTAGCATATTCTCCTCGCAAAGAGCTTCAAAGGCATCGATTACATTTATTGTTAACACAAATGCCAACGCTTTTAATAATTTAAGTTTTACTGCAAATTCTGCATCGGTTTCGCACTGGTTTTTTTGTCCTCCTGCTTGGATCTTTCTAAAGATGTACTGGGAGAATTGGAAAAAGCATCCACGTTGTTTTGAAGCTGGGTTCTTCGTTTCACAGGCTCTAAACATAAAACCGTTCGATGCATTTCTCGTATTATGAAAGTATATGAAGGTTTTAAATATTTTTTATATTATATTATATATTATATTATTGAACACATGAATTATAAGAGATTTTGAGAATAGTTGACGAATAGTTGACGAATAGTTGACGAATAGTTGACAAATATTTAAAATGCGAGCATTGCTCTAAAAAAATCTGAAGGGTAAGTAATTGGTTTGTTTAAAATTATTTTTATTATTCGTTTTTATAAGATTTCTATTGGTTTTAGGTGCGTTTTTCGAACTCCTCCCCACCCCAGACTACCATAGTAAAGAATTGATTCTACTAAACCTTAATATAGAATTTTTTAATGCGACAATGCTACAATATTTTTGAGTTGGTAGGAGCAGTATAGGAGACCCCTTAGTTTTTAACAAATTGCTATTATTTCCCTTTAGAAAGCTGTCAATGTAGATGGCAACATATTTCACAGACTTTTCCAAGAATATGTTTTCTTTGTTAAGTTTCTAGAGAGTATATTACTGTCGACTGTGATACATAGTAATCTGATAATTTACTTTTAGCAATTGATGGTAAAATGTCATTAAAGTAATTCTCTGATTTTATTTTAGCAAACATATGATCAATGTTAGTAGCTGAGTTAGAGATAACTCTTGTTGGTTTATTAATTAAAAATTTAAAACCTTTTTCATGTATTATATAATGGTATTCGTTGACTAATTCATTAGCTTCTGTTACGTTTTATAAAAGTTACGTTATAAAAAACATATTTTGCACCAGATGATACGTTAAGTTTCTAACCCTTACCTGGGTCTCATTGTAAAAATCCTTATAATAAGAATTCTTACAAGCCCCAGGCCTAGCTCAGATCAAATAGATCAGTGGGATTCGTTTAGAATTTACCTTCAAGTCAATGACAAGGTCTTTAATTAAAAAGACTTAAAAAAATACAATTAAATTAATTTGGGCGCCATACCTTTAGATGTACAATAAAAGTAAATTTGTCATTAACTTGTCAGTTGAAAGTAAGGAAAAATAAAGAACTTAAATTTCAAAACAATTAATCGGCTTTAATTTCAAATTGAATTGAACAATGGTATTACAATAAAAAGAAAATAAAATTAATTGATTTTAACAAATTTTACGGTTTACGTTATTTGACTGATAATTAGTTTAAAATTAAAATTGACTAGTATGACTATGACTCAAAAATTGTGTGTGTGGTCCTGGCCGACACTTATCTTGTGTTTCCGGATTTCAACGGTCGAACTGGTCCGTGTCGCTGTCTTAATGGTAGCTCAGCCGACGATAACTTCTCAATATTATGCGGTTCTAAGATGTAACTCAGCTTACAATGACTTAAGAGATTCTGCAGTTCTCAGCTATAAAGGCCAACTCCTCAGTCGCTACAGAGCCAGTTCCTTAGTTTGTTCGGACACACTTAAACAAAGCACTAAAACCAACCGGTTTATTTCGCTTCTAGATTGAAAAAGAATTTCAAAAGCCAACAGGGGGTGGGTTGGCTCAGTGGTTAGAGTCATAACTTTGAGATCGGAAGGTCTCAGGTTCGAATCCCACCGTTGGCCGGGATTTTTTCATTTAATTTAATTATTTGAAATTAATTCTGATGCCTTGGTAGGATTCCCCACTCGACCATTCACTGTTGGGTTCTAATTAACAGTGCTGTTCCTAAAGTGGCGCTGGGAAACAGTAACAAAGCCTACACAGAACACGAGGCGAAATA